TGGGTACATGGCGCCATCGATCCAAGCAGCGGAACAGCGGTCATGCTGGAAATTACCAGAGTGCTGGGCAGAATGGTCAAACAGGGTGAGAAGAATTATTTAGCAGAGAAGAGAAATGACCGTCTAATGGTTTTGATTGATAACTACAATTTCTGAGCCTCTTTGTGACAGGAAAATGGAGACCAAGAAGATCCATTATCTTTGGCAGTTGGGGAGCTGAAGAGTTTGGTCTTATTGGGTCTGCTGAGTACACAGAGGTAAAGTCTGTCCCAAAAATAACTAAAGCAAGAAAAAACAAATTGATATGGTTTTGACTTTACTCAACGGAGTAACAAGAACTACTTGAATGAGACAAATAAGTAATTTTGTCTTGTGGTATATTTTAAAGTAAGTATACCACAAGTGGCATAATTGCTAGCATGCAGTCTTTTATCATTTTTCAGGTGTTAATTTTGCATTACTAATTGCATATATGTTCAATGAGATAAAGATAAATCTTATTTATTCTTTGTGCAGGAATACTTCACCAAACTCAGTGAGCGTACTGTTGGTTACATAAATGTGGACATTTCTGTTTTCGGTAAGAAGTTGTACTTTTTAGATTAAACTGTTTGAAAATATTAGAACAAAATTAGTGGCATAATTGCTAGCATGCAGTCTTTTATCATTACACCCTCACATACACCATTCTCATTTAATGCATCAACACATGAAGGATTTTAAAATTTTACTCTTTCCAGTCTTGTTCATTCATGTACATTTGTTTCTGCAGCAAATGCCACACTAAGAGCTTCAGCAATGCCATCACTGCAAAGTGTCATCTTCAGAGCTGCAAAACAGGTTAGCTTTTCAAATCATATTTTTTCAGGTGTTTATTAAAAGTAGTCAGATTTGGATTAAACTAATTTGTACTCAGATTTAAGAATGTTTGATTTTGAAGTGTATCTTCTTTTCAGGTCAATGCTCCTGGATTTGATTCCACGTCTGTGTATGACAACTGGATTCGTTACACAAACAGAACCAGCCCGACCCATGGAATCATTCCAAGGTACAGACTTGAATTGTATTAAAATATATAAATATACCCACTTTTTTTTTTTCTTCTAAACCCTCCATAAGTTCCAGTGGGGTAAAAATACAATTGGTCTCATAAAAATCTGTTTGCAAATGGAAGAGGCAAAGTAAGAAATTATTTTCCAAAATTTTAATAACATTTGGTCACAAGTGAAAGCCGATTTGTGCTTCTTCTTTCCACAGGGTGGGATATTTGAATGGAGCAGGGAGTGATTATGCTGCCTTTGTCCATTACCTGGGAATTACTTCGATAGATATGTCCTACACATATGACAGGGTAAGAACAATTATTTTCTTTATATATTATTTCAAGGAGGATTTTTTTTTGTTTGGTTGTTTTTTTTTAGTTTTTCAATGATAAATGCCTCTGCTGAATGCAGAAAGGCAGCAGATAGATGGATAAATGTTAGAACAAAACTGCAAGAAGAATCCAAATTTAAATAAATTACCAATTTAAAACAAAAATGTGAAAACAACACGTAATGAAAAAAGTATGTTCATAAGTAACATTTGTGAAACTGATCATTAGAGATAAACGTAAAACGCCTCTAAACCATGTACTAGTGACAAGAATAACTGTTCATGACATTTACATAAAACACAAAAATACATGTACCAAAAACAAAATCCCTGAACAAGCAACACTTTGGAACATAAGAACAGAAAGAGAAAACACAACAGCAGCAATAATAAATCTGAAATGGTCAATGGCAGGGATGAGTTTTTGATTCCAATAAAATGTAATATTTACAAAATATTACAGCCTCATATTTGTCTGTCACCTGCATATTTCAGCATTTGTTCTTCCTTGTACAGAGTAAAACAAACGCTCGGATTTACCCTGCCTACCACACAGCATACGACACTTTCGACTATGCATCAAGATTCATTGATCCTGGTGAGTCTTGCAAAGTCTTTCACTTTAATGCAAAATCATTGTGTTTGTACTTTCTTTATGATGGTAAAGATGGTCATTCCTTTAATTCTACTGTGAGGTTAAAGAAATGAGAAAAGCTGTTACATTTCTTATCTTTTTCAAATCCCAACCTGCTCCTCTTGTAGGATTTGTCGCTCACCAGGCTGTTGGCAGGACTGCAGGAAACATCCTCATCCGATTGGCTGACAGTCTGTTGTTGCCTTTTAACTGCAAGGACTATGCTGAGAGTCTGGAGGATTACCTGAAAACAGCAGAGACCTTATACAAAAACGACCTTGACGCTAAGAATATCTCAATGGGTAAATCAGTAATACAATAAACAGTGAAATAACCTGCAGGATTATTTATTAGTTTTCTCCTCATCTGTCAAATTTCCACAATGGTATCAACACCACGTCATTCATTTTGTGCTGCGTAGGAAATCACATCCCAAATTCCACATTCAGTTCATAATAAAGCCAGAAAGCACGTCTGCAAATCTCTGAAGTGATTTGTGCTTCATTTCAGGACCTCTCAGTCAAGCTGTGGCCAACTTCCGCAAACAAGCAGAACAGCTGGACAAAGTCATTCAGAGCTCAGACCTGGCAAATGAAACGTAGGGCCATGCTCACATGCATGTCAGTATGACGCCAAATCCATTTTAGTCTGCATCACTCTCTGTCTCTCTTTTTTTTTCAGCCCGCTAAAGGTCAGAAAGATCAATGATCAGCTCATGTTGATGGACCGAGCCTTCTTGAATCCTCTGGCCTTCCCAAATGAATATGGATTCAGGTAAGGCAAATATGTTTCATTTGCATTGTGCTTTGCATCAAACTAGCATTTGGGTGATGCAAAGTAAACATCTGTTTCTCTAACAAGTATGTTTCATAAATGCTGCATAATGGTAGGTAGTAAAGGTGGTTCAGAAGGGTGGTTCAGAAGGGTGGTTCTGATATCTTTTTATCTCTCAGTTTTCATCAAACATTGTTTTCAGGAGATGCAAGGTTTCATTAACGTTCCACTTCTTTGGGATTTCATTTCAATATTCCACAGGCATGTAATCTGGGCTTCAAGCAGTTCTGGCAAGCCAACCTTCCCAGGGATAGCAGACGCCTTTGCTCAAGCTAATTCATCGGGTTTGACCAGCGACTGGAATAAAGTGCACTACCACCTGTCAGTAGTGGCCCAAGCCATTGAAGGGGCTGCTGACATGCTGAATGAAGTTATATAGGCAAAAACTCCTTTATTAACTGCAATGCTCTGTGGCTATCTATTTATGAATAATACTGCATTCAGAAATTTTAAAATAGAAGGGTTATATAGAGACACATGTGATGTAGCTATTCAAAATTATGCAAATGAACATGTCGTTTTTCCCTTTTAAGTGCTCTTTTTTCAATGGTGTGTGTTTCAAGAGTATCCTCTGTCAGCATGTTGTGCCTTAATCAGTGCTGTTGTGTTTTAGACAAAGGAAGGCCGTCAGCCTTCCTAAAATTCTTCAAATGATTAAAGCGATGTGAAACATAAACATAACATATTCATAAGACAAATTCAAGAATTGCTTTGTTTTTGATAAAGATCCAATTAAACTTCCTACATTTGTTGTATTTGATTTTTCAAAGTGGTAAAGTTTTCTTCTGCTTTTTAATCAGTTTGAGTTGATAGTTGTGATTCTTAATGTTTTATCAATGGCCAATGTTCTGTGGATAGTGCATTTATGAAATGAATGTATCTCACTAAATATTTGTATTAATGGGATTTGCTTCAGCCAGCTGCAAAAAACTAGGCCAACACGAGAGGCTGTAATACTACTACATGCCAACAGGGGGCAGAAAATGCTTTAAGACTATGTAACAGCAGAGTAACAACAGAAAGTAAGGTAAAACTGTGGCCTCTTGTATCCTGGTCAAAGTTTACTCTGCTGAACAAAACTCAAGTGAATCCTCAGAGCTGCAGTAGAAACACTGGTTTGAAAACATCTGTGTTACAATTTGGAAATGAACTTTTTAGTTTAAATTTATTCCACTGCAAAGTGATGAAAACATCTATACTGTATATAAAAAAGCCATATACTGTGGACTATTTTATAATCAATAATACCTGGTATGTAAACTCTTAAGAGCCACATTACATCAATAAGAACTTTTTAGATTAAAAATAGAGATATGGTGTCAGAAGTAAAGCCACATGTCCAACATCATGTTATTTTTAGAACGTTACAAATCATAATCTCATTTGCCAAAGATAGAAACCCTTTTTCACAGGTTCAGGATCTGAGCCTGTTCTTTCATCCTGGTTGAGAGTATTTGAGTAAAGGATGATTTTTAGTGGGTGATATACCGCTGTATTTCTATTTGGGCATAGACACAAACCACCATGTTCCTTTCCCTCAGCAACTCTGATTAAATAATTTGTATAGTCCATGAATCTTTTTCAGCCAATGTGTGGGATCCACACAAGAGGGAAAGCCCACTGTAGCTCCTTTCAGAGTTGCAAATGCTGCCAAGAAATCTCCTGTATTTGACTGGACATTATGTCTATTGATTCATACGATTGCTTATATATGGACAGTATGGAGAATCTGAAACTCTGGGGTTTGCACCAGTAATACTCTACTTAAGCAAAATGGTGATATCAAATAAAATCCTGAAATAACATTTAAATAGAGCTCAAGCCATTACATGATCAGTTTCTGTTTTAAAAATTAACATATTAATAATTTATGGAGATCAAGGTAAAAAAAAAAAACTATTTGTGAAAACATTTCAAACTGACCAAACAATCAAGTTGTAAAATTGTGAAATCAAATTTCATACATTTCGATGCTTAATCATAAAACCTTAGTTGGACTGCAAAAGTTAAATGTATATTTGGGAGTAGAATGTAAAAGACTGGATGGATTTATAAAAATAAATCTCCGAATTACTTCACAATGTTAATGTAGCATCGCCAGAGTCAAATTTTGACGACTCTCAATCATGGAGAAAAGAAAAACACAAAAACTGAAATGTGGGTTTTACACACCAGTCTCAGAGTTTATTATTTTAAATATACATAGACTTTCCCCTCCATGTTACATACCCCGCTCTTCATCCTCACTCTCCCTTCCTTCTCCTGCTCTCTCAATTCTTTGTCATCTTTTACCCCTCCAACAAAAAGCTTCGCCAGGCTGAGAAACACGCTCTACTTTGTGCAGCATATTGCTCGTTAAGACATATTTGAAAACATAAATTATAAATACTACAGCTTGTTTTTTTTTTCAGTTTGAGAATGTTCATGTAACATGTTTTTCTTCAGAAATCAGAAATGAAAAATTGAAAGAATTTGATTAGTTTAAAAATACAGCATTTTAAATTGAAATACTAGTACTTATTTCTTCTTTTGTGGAAGAGAGCAAATTTTAATTTGGATTTGATTTCCTTTTCCCATTTGAAATATGAAGGCATAACATCTTTGCCCAGAAGTCACAATTTCAGCTTTTTGTTTGTTTTTTCATTCACCGAGTTCTGATGAAAAGATCCAGTTATCAAAACATCCCAAGACCACTTCCCCACATTATCTGCGCTAACATCCAGATGTTCTCAACACAATCTAGAAAGTAAAAGAAAACAACACAATGTCCCTCAGTCTGGCTACATGAGAAATTGATTCCACTTTTTTAAATGACAGTGAGTACACAGTGTCTGTACCTTGACAGGTTAAACAGCAGAATGTGTTTTTTTTCCCAAAAGAAATCCTGAGTTTGAACAAATTAAGCTAATGTTTTTTTAATCAATTTAAGCCTTGATCAAAGTGAGCCATTTCGATTAGAGCTCATGCCTTTAGTAGTGTTCGTCTCTCTACCATCTGACCTCATCAAAGAGGTGTAAAAGTGCTTCAAATCAAACAGATACACACGTGTTAATCATTAAAATTTAAAATTTTATTCCAATCTAAAGTTGCAGAGCTACGATTGCTGGTCCGATGAGGCAGCCGACGTTGCAGGCAGAGTGAAGGACAGAGTGAAACAGCACTAAAGGAAAATTCAGGTTTTTAAGTCACAAGGCATGCATGTTAACACTTAACTCAGAGAGTTGCCACCAAAAGTGTGTAGTCTGTGATATGCATCAGTCTGTTTTGGTGTGTGTCTCAGAATCTGTGCATTTCTGTTCAACAGACGAAGGCATTGAAAAAAATCCTGCTTTTGTTTGTATGCTTTGCTCATCAGTCCCTATGCTGAACTCAAATATTTTAAACATTTTCAAGTGACCAGACTACATGGAGAACTGCCATGTCGATTTGGGTGAGACTTTCAAACTGTCTCTCAATCTACAGTGAAAAATAAAAAATAAAAAAATGGGTGATTTTTCAAAAGAGTAACACTGTGTGCCAGTGTGCCTGCGGTGCATTTAATCCAGACCTCATCAAGTTTTGTGTCCATCATTCTTGCAGTCAGTCATTTTTAAGGAAGGCTTCAGGGAAGCCTCAAAATGTCAGGACAGGGGTCACATACGGGGAGAGTATTTGGGGTTTCTTGGCACCTCGGTGAAAGATTTCAGCTCATACGGGATTCCTGTATCCACTTCAATGGATTTACGGGAAAATAGCAGCCTGATATCATTGTGCAAGTAAATTTTTCCAGATTTGGAGCTCTGGAATCTAAAAAAGAAAGAACAATAGCAGGTAAGTCAAATATTAAAAAAAAAAAAAAAAGTATAGCAAAAGGCTGCCAATATTTGTTTTTAACTCTTGATTGTACAATGCATCTCTAGAATAAATTGGAGGTCAGTGAGCAGAATATGAAGGTTAATAATAACAAAAACAAAAATAAGTTCAATCATGCCTGAGATGTATCAAGTAGCAAAGAATTCTCTTCCTGTCGAGCGCTCCGCCACCTGGAGACACCTCATCTTTCCCCTCTGTGCCTTCCTCCACTGGCACCAGGAAGATACGGTGACGCAGGAAGGTCATGTGATTGACTGGCATGTCTCCAAAGTTGTATGTCACCAGGAACATCTTCACCACAGTTTTATTGGGATTAAATAAGGTCTGAGGAGATGCACAGACAAATGTTTAGAAGGTAAATGCAAAAGCTATGCAGAATGAGCCTATTTTCTTTTCTTTGAGGATAAGCTCACCACTTGAATGGTCCCTGCTTTAGGTATGTTGTATCCTTTCTTTCCAAGAGGCTCGAGTGATATCACACCCTGATGGAGAGAAGCAAATATTTACAACTCAAGTATAGAAAAAAACAACAACAACAAGCGATGATTAAAAACTCCTTTTTCATTTTAGTGGCTTCAGACTTCCATAATCATGTCAGAATAATCAGAGTTCAAAGGTCAGATTTCACTTCCTCATTTAATGGCAATTTTGTTAAATAAATTATACACCCCAAATGTCTAACTGTGCTAATAAGTAATGCAAAGTGTTTAAAAGATGTTATAATGTGGGTTGCATAATTATTTTATATTCAATATTTTATTTATAGAGAAATCAGAATCCACCACAATTGGCACCAGCAAGAAAAGGTTTTACAAAAACCAGGGATCAGATATTAGTCATAAAATCTGATTTAGCTAATTTTTAGCTAAAAATAGGCATATGAAAGCATAAACAGAATATATTTAAACCAGTAAAAAAAAAAAAAACAACTCAGCAACCACAATACCAACCTACAGTGGTTTAGGTAGCTGTTCAAATCTCTGGCTTTAGAGAGGATACAGTTAGAAAAGGTAAACAACCACAGATGAACACAGACTGACCAGGAAGGGTGAGGGAGCACTGTGCTCCGAGATGTCGTAGTACGTAACCTGCACAGGCAGCGTGACATGCTGCGGGCAGTAGGAGCCGCTGGCTCCGATCTCTGCTGTGAATCCTTCAATCTGCCCAGAAGGGGAGAACCTGTCCTTCAATATGGACTCCTGCCCCACAAGCAAAAGGAGAAAATTGTTTAGGTCATTAAACTCTTTAAAAGAGTCATTTCACTGGTAAAAATAAATAAATAAATATTAAATTCATAAAAATAAGTGTTAAACTTGAGTACCTCAAAGTTGCCCAGCAGCGATCTACTGATGGAAGACGAGGACCAACGTGTGGCCCGGCCGGTGTCAGTCTGCCTGCCGCTGCGCAGCTGCCGGCTGGATAAGGCCACAAACACACCCAAAAACACCAGTGATTAGTGGCTGAGATCACAATAAATTTCCTTAGCCAATATGTCACACGGCTGCGAGTGTGTCTGCAAACTAAAGTCCAGACAACAAACCCTTTAATTTTGAAAAAGAGGAAGCATACTTGAAACACCCACACCTGTCCCTTGTGTTGATTTGACTAAAATCAGAGAACCATCACAAAAACATACATTTACTTCCACTATGACATGGAAACTATTATCTACCATCCTTAGCAAAATATTAATTTTAATGGCCTCATCCTGTTTCTGTACCCTGTGTGCTTTTTAGATGAAAAATTTAATTAGAGGTCTACAGAAATGATAGATGACTCACCTTTTCAAACGCAACTCAGTCTTTAGTCGTCTCCCTGATCTGGTGCAGCCTATGGTAGTCTGGAAAAAAAAAACAACCCATAAGAATGTCAAAATTGTTTGCTTTAAATATGATTATATCTTAATTTGTCACTTCACTAGTACGCTGTGTAGTTGAAATAAAATTCAGAATTGCATCAGATGCTCCAATCAGTACCAATAAACAAACACTTCCTGTTTTCCTTTTATAGATATATGCGGTTGTGTGTTTCAGATTTTTTTTTTTACTTACTGAGCTCCGACTATTAGACGAAATGACATTTTCCATTTCCAGGTCTGCGTACACAGTAAGGGCCACCCATTGGTCAGATGACTCATCACCAGCAAAACTCATGCAACTTCCAGCTAATGTTTCACTCATAGTTAAGTTCTTCCTAATTTAGCCACCTTTAAAGCCTTTGTCAGCTTTTTGGCTCATCTTCACATACAACTAAATGTACATTAGACATTATTTAAGTATCCTGTCTGTAACTTTTATTTAGGGAAACATCAGCTTTTTAAATTTTCAATCCATGTTATTAACTGATTGTGCTTAACTACAATATGTAGCATTTATTTTCCTCCCTTTTTAAATTTGTTTTAGTTAGATATCTAGTCCTTCCTTCCTCATATGCTCTACAGCTGCTAAAAATTGGCCAGAGAATCCTGTTAGCACTCTCCCCATGAGAACTGACTGCATTAGCTCTTTCTAGCCTTCCTGAGTTAAAAAATGTCGAGTTCACTTCCAGAAAAATTTTAAGCAAAATGCACCTATATGTGTATGTGTGTGTGTGTATGCTCCCTCATGCATCAGCATGAGGGACGCCCCACACTGATGCTAGGGAACAATAGCCCTTCCCTCAATGGGTTTTATTCTGGAGCTGCTCTGCTCTGTTCCAGCATGCAGTGATAATGAGCGTTACTTTATGCTTTAAAGGTTTTAGTTGTTCTCATAGTTTCTGTTTTGTTTTTATTGATGCTCCATTAGTTTTTTCTGAATTAATGGGGCCTACAGATGGAAGACGAGTAATGTCTTCCAACTACCAAGTTGTTGTAATTTCTTCTAAACAAACCGCTGTTGCCCCTAACCATAGAACATTATTTCTCTTGTTAGCTAAGTGTGCTAATAAAATGAGAAATCATAAAATTTGTCATGTTTTGTCTATGATTTAATTGCATAAATTGTTTTCTAAAAACTGTATTATACCCTATTTGGCGCTTTCAACAGCTAAGGGAGGGATTATGGTGAAGTATTCAAAGATGAATAAAACAAAAATGTTAAACTGGACTTTAGGTGTGGCTAGTTATATGAGAAGCCAAGCAATAGGCACAGTTATAAACAGGAAGAGTCATTGTAGAAATGTCCTTTCCTCTGTTTACTCTTCTATTCGTTGAATAGAAACATAATATGAGGACATAGTGTGTATGTGGGTGCTAACCTTAGGATGGTCTCGTGTAGAGGGCAGCAGGTGGTTCCAGTATGGAGCAGCTTTAGCATCAGTGCTACGACATGAAGTTACTCCAGAAGTTAGCAAAGGCAGTCTGCTTCTTTTAGATGTAGAGGGCCCTTCATCTTCAGAGCACGAGTCTGCTGTATCACTTGGGGAAAGCAGTCTCTTTTTGGCCGGCCAGTGGCCTCCAGAGAATAGACGGTGACCATTACTGCTAGGAGTTTTCTCCCAGGTCGCCAGACCATTTGATGAAGTGGCCTGTTGGGTGGCACTTCTCTCAGGTGGAGAGGATTCAAGGCCAATGTCCCATTCAGTAGCTTCCCCTGGTTCCTGCATTTCTGTGTGGTGTGGAGGGGAGAAAGGGCCAGGAGGGCTTGTTGGGCTGGCAGGATTAGGAGTTTCATATGTGGATAGCTCATATAAGAGGGGGCTAAGCTGTCCTCCAGATGAGCCATTACTACAACCATCATGTCCAGGGCTACCTAACAAATGGGTTGATGTGCGGATGCCATTAGCAGTTTCTGTCCTTGCTAAGCTTCCGTTGGAGTGTCCCTGGTCACAGATATGCCCATGTGGGTCGCACATTGGGGGCGACTTGGGGGATAGTGGCGCAAATGCATCAGGGATGGGTCTATCATGATTGTGCTGAGCCGGTCGCCGGGAGGGAGTTTGGCTTGGGGAGAGCGGTGGTGACCTCGGTGACAATCCACCTTCAGAGTCTCTATGCTCCAAATGCATGCAAGAGTATGGGGAAACAGGCCCGCCAGGCCCAGTTATAGATCCATTCCCATTAGCTTGAGCTGGGGTGGACCCGCATAACACTCCCCCCTCAATCATCTCATTGTCTGATGTGTCCTCCAGGTGGGAGCGCTTATGAGTCAGCTGAGGCTCTTCTAACACTCTTTTATAACCCGCTCGACACGGTCTTTGTTGACCATCAGCATGTGATCCAGTGGAGGCTGAAAATCCTCCCATCTGAGAGAAAATAGAGAGCTGGTAAACCTTTTGGAGTCGCAACTCTTCTTGGTCAAAGCGCCTGGGTCCCTCGGCTCTTACGCCAGGATCTAGTCCCACCATTGGGGATGCAGATGGAGGCAGGTCCCCCTCCTGTGCTGGAAGCTCTAGTTGAGCCTTTTTCTGGGCCAACTCTACGTGAATGTGCCGCATAGTACTGCTACTGTGAGTCTTGACTCAACAACAAGATCAAATAGATCCTCACAAATACCAGGAGGCAGACCCAGATGTCCCACAGGAAAGGCGATGGCCTACAGGTATGACTAGGAGGACATCAAAGTGTGTGAACAAGACGATGAGCCATACACAACCTGTAGAGGAACAAAATGCTGCATTAGTATGTAGTTTATTGAAAGCAACACTAGCAAACAGTGAAAGTGGGACAAAACCTAAATGCAAGTCCCATAAAGATGAAAACCAAGAAGGTATTCTATAGAAATGCACCAACAAATTGGCTGTTGGCTGTAATTCTATAGTTTGATAAAAAGTGGAAAATTTTAAAAGCAGTTTTATGTAAACAATCAACAAGCACATTATGTTACATGCTGTTATTTATCATCAACAAAACTCTTCAGTGTGAAATCTACTTCTAAGGTAAGAGAACTCAATGTTGCCTAGATTGAATCAGTAAGGTCTTTAAAATTAAATCAGAGTACAGAGATGTAAAAGAAAACATTTGTATTACGTGATCATTTGGATTGAAATGGATTAAGACAAAGATGAGTCTTCATCTGTCTATGTGATTAAATTGGAATGAACCGGACTGACCTGAATTTGGATAAATTCTGACTCCATATTATAAGATAAGAATTGGACCTGGTTGTCTTGTAAACTTGTGTGAGTTTAGCTGTGTAAATGAACTAAACATACGAGATTCCAACCATTGACCTAGTTTGATATCTCCTGTCTTTACAATGTTAATGTGTGATCTGAACAATTACAACAAGAAACAGAAACAACACAAGGCAAGTACAGATTCAACCAATAAAAGAACATTCTAAGCAGTATTATTTCCTTCAACGTTTATCTAAAAGATTTTGAGAACAATGCGAAGATCAACACCTCACCTTTGTGCAACTGTTTTGATGGGTCGTCTCTTGCACAACATCAGAACGATGTGTCTAAATGAGCGATTTGAGGAATTCATCCATGTTTCTGGAAGCTGGCATGAATTTATGCCAACATCACAGAGCAGATAATCAGGAAACAGGATCAAAGGTGAATGGCACAAGCACTCACACCTACAAAAATCAGATGTTATGTCAACTACTACCAATAAATGTCACATATCATAAGAAAAAAATAACTAAATTGGTAAAAGCAAAGATAAAAAAAACCATACAATGTCTAAATTATCTGCACAAAATTTGAGTCATCAAATTCAGATGCTAAAAAAATTACCAACAAGTGTCGCAGTGTCAGTACGCCAGAGGGCTCTTCAGAGGAAAGGTCTCTGAATCCAAGTTGGCAGTAATTCTGTTGCCACTCCCTCTGTGATTGGCTGACAGCCAGGTGAACCGTCCTTGGTTACCTGGGTGTGAGGTGGGACACGGCTGTGGCATCATGGCTGGGTCATTCCACCCAGTGTCCCTGAAGAAGAAAGTATACATCAAAACCATTAGGAATAGCAAAAAGATCGACAAAGGAACTCCCTGAAAATGTAACAATTCCCTAGGTAAAAGGATGGCTTGTGTGTGGAGAAGCAATAGACCCCTCCTAAATAAATTAATTGAAACAAGCTATAAACATCCTAAAAACAACTCATGCAGAGCTTTTTTTTTTGTTTCCATCCTCTTCATGAAAAAAAATCCCCCATTTTAAACACAAAGGCCCCAAACTCTTTGAGCTGATAATCACACATGAAGGAGTCACTTCATGGAGTTAACTTGGCACCACACGGTGCTAAACCAAAAGAAGTGGGTTGTGTCCCATCCTACTTGGACCTGAATTTGGGAATGTTGGGTGAAGGGAGGGAGACGGAGAGGGTCGCAATGAGCCATCACCATGCCAACACGTAGCCCAAGGATAACGACTCCTTTGTACTTGGCCACAAAGAGGGAGAAAGAGAGGCAGAGCTACAGAGTGTTTGAGGAGGTTGATGGTGGTATGGATCATGTTTGGGGAGGCGATGAAAAAGCTTCTTTAGAATATAAGTACATAAATAAATATACATAGCAATTTGGTGGTCTCCCTGAGAGGTGTACACTCAAAAAGAAAAATTTCAACAAGCTTTTAAGTGCTCACTTTCACTTAGAGTTGGTCCCTTTTCTCCCCTTTACAAAAAATAACTGCTTTTTGTAATTTGAAGAATGATGACAAAACTCAGAGATGCAATTTCTAGATATGCATAAATTCTTCAAAGATTGAATCACAATTCATCCACGTGTCTAAGTCGTTCTTATAAGCAGTGTTTTGTTTTTTCATACAAAACACTGCTTATACCAATCATGCAGAACATTATGACTGACTTCCAGATACTCTATTTGTTCCCCTATGGGATCTAGCACCAATCAGCTAGCAACAAATCCTTTAAGTCTTGTAAATTGTGTGGTGTGGTTTCATTGGATAAAACGTGTTAGTCCAGCTCAACCCCAGATCCTTAAATGGACTAAGATCTTGAGAAAATTAAGGGAAGGCTGAGTTTTGGCAAACTCACTATTCTGCTGAAAGACACAACTATCAGGATCTTCGGTTTCCATTAAAAGGTGTACATTGTCTCCAGAAGAGCTGAGGTAGGAATTTTGTGTCAAAATAACATCCACATAGCTAGGAGGTCACTCTGTTTCACAGCAGGACATTACCAAAAGTGACACAATCCTCCAGTATCTTGCCTTCTTTCCATTGTGCATCGTGGTGTCACATGCTCCCATGTCAGACCAAGTTACTTCCTTCCATTGCTCCATAGTCTAGTTCTGATGCTCTATTACCCATTGCTTAATTACACTTTGTCCACTTCTGCTTTTGGCAGTGGACAGGTCACCCAGACTACGACTACATAGGTCGAAAACACAACAAATTACACTGCACTTTGTATGTATTGTGGTACCTTTCTCTCAGACTAGCAATCTGATCACCGCAGACCAGGAACACCCCACAAGAAATGCAGGTTAGGAGGTGCTGTGTTGCAGACAAACATCAACTTTGAGGACAAGATTTTTACTTGCTGCCAAATATAACACATAAACTAACAGGTGCCATGATGAAGAGATAATCAGTATTATTTAGTTTTACTCTCAGCCCTGGTAGAGTTATATCAATGTGTACACAATGGCTTACCATAAGGTATTTGTGTTCTCTCTGCTGCACACAAAGAATCACATAGTTAGGAGTGAAGTCTCCATCACCTATAATTAGCTACCCAACATATGGTTTCTTTGCAGTCGCACACCACCATGGAGAGATCTTAGACTACACATAAATGCCTTTTTCACAAATGTGACAAAAACCATTCCAAAGCACGAGTATAAGACTCTCAACAGCTACTAAAACATTTCCCAAAAAACCCTGAAAAACATGTTTATGCTTACAGCTAAATATTCTAACTCTACTGCAAAGCAATATCATCATCGTTTCATATGATGGGCCAAAATGAATGCAAAATGTTTAGGACTTTAACAGAAGTTCTGGTAAAATTAGAGTATTCACATTTAAAATATCATTAGTAATGACATCTGATATACTCAGGTGGAGCAGTTCCCAAAGCTAGGGATCTCTGGTTCATGTCATTACAGAGTAAACAGACAAACAAAAGGTTAACTTGAATCAGTGCATTAAAAAAGAGAGGAAGTATTACTGCTACTAGTAATAGTTTGCATATTTAAAAACTGCCAGAGGGAGTGTTCAGTTCTTTAAATGTCCTACATATTTGATCTACAATCTCAAGTTTCAGTCACTCATTTCAGAAACTACCTGATAAGTTAACAGGTATTAGGGTTGGGGTTCCAAACAGTTGGAAACAATGCAAGTTATTAATCATCTGAAAACTGTAATTTACAAATAGTACAAAACTTTTATTTTCACTTAAATTGTAAGTCCAAAGCATATGTCAGATCAGCTGTTCAGCTCATTGTCATATAAACCCCCCCCCAAAACTTTATGGTTCACGTTGCTCCAATGTCTAATTAAAGACATTGGAGCTCCTATATTAGTTTTTTCTATAGACCAGGATCAAAAGCACACAAGGAAGTTGGGGGGAAAAAATGCACATCAATGTGTCCTTGCCTCTAGCTGAGAATGATTTATCTTCTGCACTCAAAGACAGGGGAAAATGAACAAAATGACAACCTGCCAGCAGATTGCATTGTTTTCTCTAGGTACTTTTCCTCTGGTCCCTTTTGCCGTTTCATGCTTTTGCACTTTGTTCATTATGTTCCTGTTCTTTCCTCCATGGAATAGTTTATGCTGGCCATTTATCAATTTGTCCATACCTTGTACATTTTGTTCCAGCTTTGACCACTCACTACATAAAGTAGTTTTATTCAACCTACAAATTGCCTACTATATAAGTAAGTGTGGTTCTGTACATATAATAAGAAAGAGAATTTCTTTTCAGCTTTGCTTAATTTGGTTTGATTAAAGACCACAATCTACTAAGTTCATGCATACAATATGGGGTATAAATTAAAGTGGATCCCCTTCTTTTGTAAATGTTAGCTTCTGCAGAAGTGCCAAGATGCTTTCCACTGAGTCTATAAATGCATATTAATAGATATTTGGTATCCTATTAAAATTGGCTGTTATTTTTAGAGAGGGTCTCGTATTTGCTGATATCTCCTATTTGACTGCAGTTGTGCTCCATAATCCCCAGCAAATATTAATACTAAAACATAAACAAGGTAACACAAGTAGGCAAAAAAAAAATACAATTATTAAAACACTTAAGAGCATTGTTTCTTCAGTTGGAAAATTTTCTTAAATGTCCTTTTTGAAACTGATGATAAAGAGGAATGGGACAAGAACCTAAAAGCAACTGCCATTCAAAATAGAATAAGAGGACACAAGATGATGGACATGCAATGAAACTTCACTCTGGCTAAAAACCTTGAGAAATATATAAATAGACCAGGACCATGAGGGGCTCTCTCGCCAACATCAGGGCCAACCTTTGGTGATCATGGCTACAGCTTCTATGCGACATGTTAGCTCACATACTACAAAATATGTCCTGAGCCTTCCACTGACAATTAGAAAAGCAAGCAAGTTTTTACAACAGACAGAAATGACTCAACAAAAGGAGATGCAAAGTTAAAGACCTGAAAGTGTGTAATCATTGACAAGCAGGTAAGTAACATAATATGCCTCGAGAGGATCTTTCATGTGAAGGTGTTCACAAGTTTGTTTATCAAAGACAACACCAGCATTGACAAGGCTACTAGTTAGGCCTTTAATGACTGTGATCAATGTCCTCATGATGTGCATGCTAGATTTTTTGCTCATCCATCAGTCATTTCCTATAAAGTGCTGTTTGTGTAGCACGGAGCCTATTTTTCCTCCTGAATAAGAGAGTAATATTTTGAGAAATTTAAACCTTTGTTGTCAAGTCTAAATGGTAAACATATTCCAAATTGAATCATCATGGGGGAAGAGTAATGTAGCACAAAAATGAAAAGGTTCCTGTTAAATTCTTTTTATTGAATTTAACAGGAAGTGTTTTTATTTTGAAGAATCAGTAACATCGTCATAACAATGCTAGCTTATTAGCAATAGAATGAGATGCTGGAGGCAAGTTAAGTTTTGTTTCTTCTGAAATCACCTGAAGGCCTTTTTGGATTTAAACCTCCACAGCCATAAGGTCTTATATTGCACTACATCTTTCACTACTGGGTCATTGTTCATCATTAATAACTTAACATATTCTCTGAGACATTCTGCACCATTCTGTATTGAGGCCAAGGGAGAAAGTGGTCATGAGGTCAAAGGTCAGATGTCCTGAGCCAGCTGACAGATCAGGAGGGCTGAAAGGTGTTTCACTTCATCATCACGAGGAAGGGAGTGTCAGACTTACTTGACAAATGTTGCAGAATAATCTTATCCGATCAGTGCTATGCCTCTAGTTAACCATTAAATCAAACACCTAAAGCCATCGGTAGTTTGAGCAGCAACTAGTGTCTGAATAGTCAGTAAAACCATTCGTTTCACAGATGCACACTTAGAAATATGCATCAGTGATAAGCTTTGGAAACTTGAACAAGATTGAAATATAAACAGATCTTGAACTTTTTCACATTTTGTCTCATTAACACCACAAACATCACTGTATATTAATGGTATTTTAAGTGCATATTTGTTTTTGTTTTTTTATTATTAAATATAAGATCCTTTGAGTATGACATGTATTCTTATACAACCCCATTACTCTGACACCCCTAAGTAAAGTTCAATCCAATTGCCTTTAGAAGTCAACTAATCAGATGCAGTCTGGTAATTTGTGATGTAATCTCAGCATAAACAAAACTGATTTGTGGGAGTTCAAAATCCCAATAAAATAGACGGAAGCTTGTAAGATGTGAAAAACTTAAATGGGGTATAAATACTTTTTTTTGAAGGCACTCTGACAACACACAGAAACACATCATATATTGATGGGGCTGACCTAGAAACCACCTCCCAGTAAACCTAGGAAGGTGTCAGAGACAGAGTTAAAAGCTCTGTCTCTGACAGAGCTCGTCGAAAAAAATAGCCTGACATTTGGCCTGTGTATATATTAATCACAACACACAAACGCCACATACCTAAGCACACACACGGACAAAGCCAAGCATTCAAAGAACCATCACTTTCTGTCTTTTGGCAGCATAGGAAAAACATGTCTTCATAAAGATTCTTCTATACCACCTTCTGTTTAACATTCACTGTGCCCCACTTTAAAGATGCTCTATTTGAAAGAAACACAGCTGCTGCACTGGCAGGATTCTGTATTTAGATTGGACAGCTCACTGACTGAAGGTTGCTTTTCTCTTTGTTTATCTTACATTTCAAAGGCGTGAATGATGGAGCCATATCTTTTAACGTCTTAACTTCCATTCATACATTGTAGCTCCCAGAAACATTTGAGTTAAAAAAAAATAAAACATTTTATGGTATTTCCTTAGAAATCTTATTTAACCGAAAGAGGTTCCAACATGATTGAAAAGAAATTTGTTGCTAAAGTTCAATGCCTTGCAAAAGTATTTGTACCCATTAGATTTCTTTTCTAATTTGATTACTTTACAGCCACAACTTGGAGCGTAATTTACAAAAAATTTATGTGATAGGCCAACATCGATAAATACAGAATTAGAAAGTGTGGGGAAAATGTCACAGGGGTATTAACATTAAATAACAGCATGCATATATGTTCTACTTTCTAGAACCATCTTTCATTGCATGGTGCTATCTAGATGCACTATGGTGGAAAATCTGACAAAGTAGCACAGAACATTGAAATACAGGCAAAACATTATTTATGTACCCAACTGTGTAGTCGTTCCGCCAGCTCTGGCTCACTAACTTTCAGACCACAAGTTGCTTTCCTCATGGCAGTACACAGTAATGTTCAGTCCTTGATTCAAGTTCATCATTATTTAATGCATCTGTCAAAAACTATCACAAAGAGGAAACAAAATCATACATAAATTTTACCCGACTGTAAGTCAGAGTACTAGCCAAACTATGAAAATCTGTGAAATATAGTACAGAGAATACAGTACGGGATGAAATGACCTTTGCTGGAAAAGTATCTCAATTTCTCTCCAACTACCTCTTCAGAAAACAAATATCAGCCACATTGGTTTGACTTTTTGACAATTCCCTACCCTGTATAAATGTGAAATGATGTATTTATAAGTCTGTGGCCAAGGTCGTTAGCCTGAATGAGCCTTTAGGGAAAATAAAGTTTCATCTCTGGCTTCTTACCGACACTTTGCACTGCTTGCATTTTGAGTCTATTCCATAACAAATTGTCTCATCAACCTTTTGCAGATTAGCACCTGGACTACTCACAGGTCTGTTCTTTGCCTGGAGGCTGATAAAAATACATATACATACACACACACACACACACACACACACTTGCTTGAGAACATTCCTAAACATAAAAAAAGTTTCTGCCTGCAAAAAAAATTAAAAAAATTTAAAAAAAATCAGCTGATTGAGTAGAGTACATGAACCGTAAACATAAATGTTTTGAAAAACAACTAAATGTATCTGTGTTTAACACAAACATAAGACAGGAAGTAGCAAAGAAAAGACGAAGGTGACCAGGTTGGATGTAAGATGAACAGGGCAGATAAGTCACATAATTGCAGTAAACAGCAGCTCGGCTGTGGTGTCATGATATTCTGAACTGGGCAGGCGAAGTGACATTTTTGCTGAAAATGCTGTTTGACTCAGGGTCCCCCCTCTGTCCCTCCTGTTCTCCCCTCCCTCAGTCTGTCTGCCTTTCATGTGGCCATTTTAGGAGACGTTGAGTCATCTCAGCTCAGCTGATAATATGACAGAGAACAACAGGAGCAACAGTCAAGCACTTGACATGAGAGCAGGAGAAGTTGTCACACTCACCCTGTCACAAAGATGAGGTTAGTCTCCTTCCTCCCTTTATTTCAGGTCAGAGTAGGTGACACTGTTCTCCTCTACTGCTCAGGCTGCCTTCTCCCTCCCTCTCTTGACTCACTGGTCTCTTCTTCGTTTCCTCCGTCCTGAACAGTTTGCAGTGTGAAAGAGAGTTCTGCCTTCCTCGTCTTGTTTTGTTCAACAGCTTGCAATAATGCTGTTTTCTCTCTGTTTTCTTCCTGTCTACTTCTCTCCACCCTCATTTCACACACACAAATGCACAAATCAAAAACCTATCAACAACTCCCAGCCCCCATTTGCCTCGCCTGTGCCCTCCTTCTCCTTTTCTGTTTTAAGCCACCCCCACTTTTTTCCTTCTTTCTCCTGTTTATGTACTCCTGTAAAGTATCTGAAGAAGTTTCTGCTTGTCTCATTCTTTTTTCTGTATTTTCTCACGCTCTTTCCTATTCCTCTGCCATTCTTTTCAACACTTTCTCACTGTCCTCTCTCTCTCTGTTTTCTTTCTCTTGCTTTCCTCTCAGCTGATAGAGTGAGGCATGCTTTGCTCACTCAGCAGTGAAGGCATACAGAGGAAATAAAGGAGGGGGGATTGGATGCTGCAAGCCGATTGGTGAGCTAAGAGGGGGGTCAGCTGTAATGAGCAAAGTTCTGATTGGTTGAAAGGAAAAGAGTGACAGAGGACAGGAAGTGCAGGGAGCCAGAAGCCTGCCCACCTGCTCCTACTGAGCCTGTTCTGCAAAATTAAAAACCACTTTACTGAAACCATGCATTCAAAGTTCATAAACTTTAAACATATTTTTACTTCTGTGATTACTTTTGATCTTTTCGCACAAAGCAATACATATTTAGCTGAATGTAACTTTCAAAAGAACAACTTAAAATAATAAGAGAGATTAAAGATCCACACATCTACGCAATTCACCCTCCCCCTTTTCTGTGGAGTCTTTCTCATACACAAGCTGCAGGCTGTGCAGCGCGACAGCTTCAGGCAGGAAAGGCAGAATAACACCAGCGAGAGGACAGATAGGGAGTGGAGCACACACAAGAAAAAGTTTATCAGCAGAGAACCAGAAGAAGCAATCAGCTGTGCACGTGTGTGACTAATTCTAACATCTGTGAGCTAATAAGGAACAGCACTTTGATTATGCAATGAATGTCACAGAGGAGAGGAGTGGAGTTAAAGTATGAACTGCATGAAAAAAAATGCATCACACATTGGAGAGCCCACTGTCACCTCTCGCTCAAAAACGGGAGGCGAAACTAAACGTCAAAGAATATTAGGCTTGCGTATTTAGCACACTTCTAAAGTTCTGCATGCTTGCTGCAGACACAAACACACCTCCCTGCAGTGTGCTGCTTTATCTTTAGAAGGAAGCTGTGGTTTGCTCATTAATATAGGTCTGTTGGTTGGGACACACAAGACAAGTCTAAAGGCAGCTCTGTGTTTCTTCATGTTTCAGTTAGTAACTGTCACCATCCTGCTATGACTGCTGATTTACATCTGCCTCCTGGTCAACTTCCAACTGTGACACACTGCATCTGCTTCTACACAGATGGAAAATATATTTCTGCCTGTGCTGCTTAGTTGTCATGTTATTTCTGGTACACAGAGAGCAGGAAAAAGTAAAAAATAAAAATAAAAAAATTATATAAAGATGTTAGACAAAAGGCAACTTCTCCATATTAAACCTTTTAGGCTTAAAACAATAAAAATCACACTAACCTGAACTCTCTTGGCAATTTCCTACTACTGTCTACATAAATGTGGGGTCTAACATCTTGCCAGAATCTCTTAGTGCACAGAAACATAATTTCTTGATTGTTTATATACACACACGGCATTAAAATTGTTATCAAACACTTAGTAGTTTTTGTGCAAAGGTTTCAGACTTCATCTTGAGAAATTTTCAAACCGCCAAATAAAGCAAGAGACAATTAACAGTCAAGGTATAACAAGCTTTTGAAAAGTCCCAGTTTCCAATCACAAACATCTTCTGAAAAGGTGTCAAAATGACCAGTTTTCTGAGTCTATATGCAGCATAGAGAACAGTAGCACTGAACTGCTTACACAGGTTGCTGTGCACTGCTAGAAGCTGCCTCACAAAGGCCTGGTACACTTTTCTTGTTCACAGAGAAACAACCAAGAGAAAAGTGCTTGGAAATATTTATGGTTGTGAAAAAACAGCAAGTCATGCTGTGGAAACTAAAGGAATTTCACCCATTATTCTTATTAACACTTTGCTGTTTTAAAACTATAGTGAACAAGCTTTCAGAAATAAAGATATGTCACTAAAAGGGCAAATAGTCTGACAAATTAAGCAGCTAACATCAGCTTGTAGGAATCTCATAAAAAAACAGTAGGGAAAAAAGAGAAGCATCATTAATGGACAGTTGTCTTTTATATAGAATCCTGGATAGAAAACATAGAAAACACAACATGACAAAATATCAGACATACAGAAATCTACAAAACAGACAATCAACAATTCCACCAGAAAACAGACACGATGAAATATGATCAAGAATAATGCTGCAAAGTACCAACAGTAAGTTCAAAAAGGCAAATTAACTACTGTATATGTCAAGATGGCAGGAAGGAAAGTTGCATGACTAACTATTGGCAATCCAATTTGAAATGTTATTAAACAGATTGCATGCACCCATTCTCTGAAGTTACTGGAATAGACTTCTTTAACATGCAACAGTAAATGTTCGCAGACTAAATGCTCTCTTTCATAGAGGAAGAATGCAGGCCCCCCTTGCTGCAGCTTGATGCACTGAGCATGCTTTTTTTAAGTGTGTGCAAACATATATGTGCACAGACAAGCGGTTTAAAAAAAACAAAAAAACAAGACACGTGTTTAACTCTGAACCTCCAAATATAGAGATCTGGGGATAGGAAAGAGAGGAAAGGGAGGAGACAGAAGATGGAGGAGGAACTTTAAGAGACAGCAAGATAAACCGAACGACCAAAGGTTGAGCTGAGACAAGGTTTCTGTTTTCAAATAAGCTCAACTGAAACTTCACATAGAAATGTTTAATAAAATTTATTTTTTTTGTTCCAAACCAGATCTGAAAAATCCCATGCTACAGTATGCACAAATGTAAACGAACACCTTCAATCTTCTGTTGACTTTAGAGTCGAGGCTGTTTCTATATCTGGGGGAAAAGGGTGTGTTTTCTCTGTGGAGACCCTCCCCCTGTACGAGGGCACATCCAGTCCACCAGAAGAGAAAGACAGGCTGAAAGTACAGACTCACATTCTATCAAACACTCACATTCCTGTAATGCTGTCTGGAACATGAGAATTTGGTAGGTGTTGTGTTTTGAGTCTTAAACAATCCTGCTGAAGGAGAGTAAAGTTTTGTAAAAGTTTTAGAAATTTTTTTTTTTTTTTTTGCCATGTCTTGCATATTTCAGACTTCAAAGTGACACCGTCAGTGTTTAAGAAATGTTATCTTCTTCTCCAGTTACATCCTTAAAAACAAAAAGGAAAATAGAAATAGAAATTTAACCCATGCGATAACTCTGAGAAAATCAGTTAGTCACACTTTTTACTGAAAGGAGAAGAGGTCATGCTCCACGTCAGGAGGAAGGGAAGAACAAAAAGAAGAGAGTGAGGTGATGAGCGAGACGGGTGGAATGACAGTATAATAATGTTCATATGTGTATGAGGGTGGAGGAGGTGAACGCCCATGTGAGCATATTTGAAGATGTGTGTGTACTCCTGCGTGGATTGAGCTCTACATGGTGCTCTGCACTAAAGTATAAATTTGACACAAAATATTTGGTCTATGTCAAAACAATTATGATTTACCTTTGAAAAAAATTTAATTAATTGTTTGATTAAATGTGCTTGGATGCTTTGATTATTCCAATATGTCAGGAGATTGTAAGCTAGTAACATCCACTGATCTTATGCATTAATGAATATCCATTTCATATCTAATAATTTTTTTCTGGGCCTTGAAGTCGTATATATTCAATTTACTGTTGTGAGGCGGCTGTGTTAAGAACAGAATAAGATCTATAAACCATCATCATATCATAATCAAATTTTACTGTTGTCGGGTAGCAAGTTCCTGCATGCTGTTCCCCACCCATTGTAATCTCTTCTAACAACATTTGTATAGGTCTGAGGTAATCAGTAAAAATCTAAGGAGGCGATTTTAGATTTATACAAGTTTAGAAAGTCTTTTGAAACAACTGTAAGTTTGAAGATCACCTTAAACACTTGCATGAAAACAGATGTCTGTTTGAGACAAGTTTGGTCTCAAACATGAGTCTTCAAATCCAGCCCTTGAGGGCCGATGTCCTACAACCTTTGGATGTGTGGCATCAACACAAAGACGCATCTGTGTTGAAGATATGATGGCTTGACTTCATACTCCAGCCATTGGATTCTGGTGTATTGGACCAGAGACATCTAAACGTTGTAGGGCATAAAGCCTGTATTTGAATATCCATTCAAATCCTGTTCTAGAAAAAGAGCCAAAAATCTGCTTCACAGAAAATTAAACAACCCAAGAACCATCAAAGCTCAGGATTGTATTTAATACAAGTAACTCAAACCAAATTATAAAATATCCGTATGATATTTTATAAAGAAAAGTTGCTGTACTGGCTTCCCACAGTCTATATATCAATCCAAACAAAAATTTGTGGACTATGCCTAACCCCTCAACTGTTGTCATGCATTAAGTTTTAAAGCAGCCAAGGAATGACAAGTATCCCATAAATGTTGGTTTGTGCATATTCCACACATACCAAGAACCCTACTGGAAGCATTTTGCTACCACCTTCCATTCAGAGAGCTAATTAAGCTTAGCTTTGCTAGCTTTAATATGCTAATTTGCTTTACTGTGCTGATTAAAGCAGCATAATTGAAGATGCTATTTTTAAATTAAACTAATAAATTAAATGATTAAGAACACATAATATAATGACAATTAAACATATAACCATGATGACTGTTTCCAAATTCTGATTGAAATTGTAAACACATTAAGGTAAGACCCATTGAGTTCTATAAGCCTAAACTGAACAGAAAGAAAACCTTAATGAAATCTAGTGATGACTGCCTGGAAAGGTAAGAGCAGGTTGAAGGTACAAGTGATAAATATGCAAAGTCTCATATCTTGTTTAATGTGCTCTTGACCTCTGTTATATTTCAGCACTCCTCTGGATGCGAAATAAACAGTTTGCCCAAATTAGACATTTTTGTGTAAAAATTAGCTAAAATCACCACAGATAAACCTGATAACACTGCTTCCACTTATGTGAAACTTGTCTTCTGTATATTCTGTAGTGTCATGCAATGTGTTGCTATGAACAAATTCCCTAACCAGCATTTTAAAAGTTTTATGCAATCCACTTGATCTTGTTTTACTTGCATCTAATTTATGACTCGTAACTATTTACCACAAGAATTACGTGACTTTCACAGCCTACATTTAATACGAATTGCAAGACTTTTTTCCCCTCTCCTCTCTGATAAAAGCTCTTTAAAACAATTAAAGGAACCAAACAGTGTAGAAGAAAAATAATCAAGAAGTGACTTA